AGTTTAAGTACAAAGTCGTTGTACTACCTGTGTAAACACGTAGTTAAAGTACAACGTGGTTGTACTATCTATGTAAGTATGTAGTTTAAGCACAATGTGGGTGCATTTTCTATGTAAGTTTGTAGTTTAAGTAAAACGTCGTTGTACTATCTATGAAATTTTGCAGTTTAAATACAAGTAAGTATGTAGTTTAAGCGCAACGTGTTTCAACAATCTATGTAAGTTTGTAGTTTAAGTAAAACGTCGTTGTACTATCTATGAAATTTTGCAGTTTAAATACAAGTAAGTATGTAGTTTAAGCGCAACGTGTTTCAACAATCTATGTAAGTTTGTAGTTTAAGTACAAAGTCGTTGTACTACCTGTGTAAACACGTAGTTAAAGCACAGCGTGTTTCTACTATCTATGTAAGTTTGTGGTTTAAGTACAACGTGGTTGTACTACATATGTAAGTATGTAGTTTAAGTATAAGGTGGTTGTACTATATATACAAGTATGTAGTTTAAGTACAACGTGGATGTACTATTTATGTAAGTATGTAGTTTAAGTAAAACGTTGTTCTACTATCCATGTAAGTTTGTAGTTTAAGTATAAAGTCGTTGTACTATCTATGTAACTATGTGGCTTAAGTACAATGTGTTTGTGCTATCTACGTAAGTTTATAGTTTAAGCACAAAGTCTTTAGCTATCTATCTAAGAATGGAATCAAAATACAATTTGCAGTTTTAGTGCGAAGTCGTTGTACTATCTATGTAAGTTTCTAGTTTAAGTAAAATGTCGTTGTACTATCTATGTAAGTATGCAGTGTAACTATAAAGTCATTGTACTATGTATGTATGTAAGTTTCTAGTTTAAGTAAAAAGTCGTTGTACCAACTGTGTAAATTTGTAGTTTAAGCACTACGTGGTTCTACTAACAACGCAAGTTTTTAGTTTAAGCACATCGTGGTTCTACTACTTATGTAATCTTGTAGATTAAGTACAAAGTCATTATACTATATACATAAGTTTGTAGTTAAGTACAACGTGGTTGTATAATCTATGCAAATATGTAGTTCAAGCCCAACGTGAGTCTACAATCTATGAAAGTTTGTAGTTTAAACACAACGTGGTTATACTACCTACGTAAGTTTCTAGTTTAAGAACAAAGTCATTGTACTATATATATAAGTATGTAGTTTAAGTACAACGTAAAACTTTCATAGATAGTAGAAAATACATAGATAGTACAACCACGTTCTACTTAAGTTACATACTTACATAGATAGTACAACTACGTTCTACTTAAGTTACATACTTACATGGATAGTACAACATCTTGGCACTTAAAATACAAACTTACATAGATAGTACAACCACGTTCTACTTAAGTTACATACTTACATAGATGGTACAACCACGTTCTTCTTAAGTTACATACACACATAGACAGTACAATATCTTGGCACTTAAACTACAAACTTACATAGATAGTATAACCACGATGTGCTTTATATACATACTTCCATAGATAGTACAATCACGTTGTAAATAAAATACACATTACATAGATAGTACAACGACTTTGTACTTAAACTACGCATAGGTAGTACAACCACCTTATACTTAAACTACTTATACTTATACTTAAACTACTTACAACGCCTTTGTATTTAAACCACATACTTACATAGATAGTACAACCACGTTCTACTTAAGTTACATACTTACATAGATAGTACAACATCTTGGCACTTAAACTACAAACTTACATAGATAGTACAACCACGTTCTACTTAAGTCACATACTTACATAGATAGTACAACTACGTTCTACTTAAGTTACATACTTACATATATAGTACAACATCTTGGCACTTAAACTACAAACTTAAATAGATCGTCCAACCACGTTCTACTTAAGTCACATACTTACATAGATAGTACAACTACGTTCTACTTAAGTTACATACTTACATAGATAGTACAACATCTTGGCATTTAAACTACAAAAGTATACTTAAACTACATACTTGTATATGTAGTACAACCACCTTATACTTAAACTACATACTTGTATATATAGTACAACCACCCCAAGTATGTAGTTTAAG